GGGTCCACCCTCCCATCCCGCCTTCAGGTGTCACGTGCAGCCACGCGCTGCCTGGGCAGCCTCAGCCCTCCTTCAGCCACGCCTGGGCTCCCTTTGCCTCAGTGACGCTAGGTCACCCCGTTTCAGCATCCCCCCTTGTCACCTCCGTCCTGGGAGTGCCTCTGCGGACTCCCAGCACAGGCTGTCCCGGGGTCGCTGGCCAACTTTCTGGTGAGCAGACAAGAGAGGCAGCTACACTTACCTCTCCCAGCTGTGGCTCGAGCACTGTGCTGGGCGCTTCCGCCTCGCCCCCTGCGCCCACAAACCCCCCGGCCACCCCGGGCAGAAGGTCTCATGAGGCCCGTTACAGTGAAAGGGAAGCCAAGGCTCAGGTGCTGGAAGCCTGGCCCCGGCGCTGCAGAGAGGCTCTCATGAAGATGACAGGGACGCTGACGTGGCAGTGAGCCTGGGGCCTTCCGGCCGTCGGGCCTGCCTCCCTCATCGTCAGATCCCTCAACCCACCGCTCCCTCCACTTCACCGAAGCTCAAGGAGAACAACTGGAAGACATCACAACAACATTTCCCTTTGATGCTCTGGAAGAGCCACAGGACGTCCTGGCCTCCGTGACTCATTAGAGGCTCACCTGTGAGCGAGACTTTTCTATTCCCGGGAAAGACCAAGGCCCCATGGCCGTGAGATCCGTTAGAACACGAAGGCCGAGAGCGCCCCGCCACCCCCACGTCTGCCCAGGGCGTCTCCCTCCGGGCCGTCCAGCCGGCCCCAGGAGCTGACCTGACGGGCCGCCCCAGCTGGAGCGCGGCCACCCGCTCCCACGGGCGTCGCTTCCGTCACGCTGGGGCGGGGGCCTTTCTAGAGCGCCCGGGGGAGGATCGCCCCTCGCGGCTGGGAGCTCAGGGCCCGTCGCCGCCTGTCCCGTGAGCCACACGGCTAACTCAGACAGGAGCTGGCCCTGGGTTCCCGAGAAACCGCCCCCAAATCACCTTTTTAAAAAGCGTCAAAAGAAGACAGCACAAGGGGGTGCGGGTTACGGCTGCATCTCACACTCGGGGAACTGTGATTTTTTGTCCTAGTCACAGAATCGCATCGTAAACATCTAGCTTAGAGAATTCACGGAGAAATTGTTTTGCATCTCGAGAAGTCGCCTCTAAATCATTTGCCTAATTGAAGTGCGTTTCCGGGTAATGTGGCTTCGAGAGCACGGACAGGTTGAAAAGGAGAACCGGAGAGTTGCGTTCTCCCCTTCATTTACGAGACCACGTCTTGTGTTTGAACAGCGTTGTGTTTATGTCGCTGAGTCTGGCCTTGCCTATGCGGCTGAGTCACGCTGCTCAGGAGGGCCCGGCAGGGCCTCGGAGCCTGCAGCCTCTCTTCTCATTTCGGCTTATTCTCACCGCCCACCACCTGTCATTCCATAAACACCTTCGCCTTCGCTCTGCTTTGTTCAGATCTCTGGGACATAGGTCATGGTGCCACCTCAGTCCAGGCCTTTCCTACCTTTGTCTGTGGGGCCATTTCTCCTAGTGCTTCCAGGCTTCATCCGAGACCCCATCCCAGTTTGTACCTCTGCTGTATTCACGTGACACTTCTGTCCCTACCACCCCCCACCCCCGCCCCAAAGACTGGGCTCCTCCGAGTCAGGAAGGCAGCCTCTCGTTCTCAGGGATCTGTCCCAGGACCAACAAAATGCTCCTAAGTCAACAGCCCCTCTGTGCTCAGCAGCAACCTCGTCCAGCTAACCGTCATGATGAGCCGGCGCCATTCCCATCGCTTCCGTGCCCAGCTGTTCGATCCGACCACAAACCTGCCACCCGCACGGCACCGCGGAGGGGCCTGCAGGAGAGCCCGGGTAAAACACCCGTCCAGATCCGCCCAGCCGAGGAGTGTCCGCAGGAGGGTGTGAGCCTGGAAGGCCCGGGGCCTGCGGCCTCAGCACCCTGCGCCCCGCCTCTGCAGACACCGCAGGCCGCTTCCGCAGTCACGCGAGACGGAGGCGGGCTAGCCCAGTGGAATCGTTAGTCCCAATGAGACCGCCCGGCTGCTGAGTGCCGCAGACATCATTAGATGCCCAGTGTCTGGGCTCTTTCTGACTCTTGGTCAATGTGTCAAAGCTCTTTGTCTAATCATATATTCTCTATATGTATTTCTTTTCTCTGACTTGGAAATGCATGCAGCAGTAGAACGTCTGTCCGGATGATCGATGGCATGCAAGTATGAATGCTGGCGCTTCCTCCCCTGCGGCACACACAGAGGGGGCCCGTGGCGGGGGGCGGCGGAGTCGGGTTCCTCTCCCCTCGAAGCTGGACTGGCCTTGTCACTGCCCTTGACCAACGGAATGTGGGGATGTGGCCCCGTGTCAGTTCCCAGCCTATCCCTGAAGAGACCTGAAGCCTTTTTCTTTCTCCCTCCTGGAGAACCGAGCTACTGTGTAAGAAGTCAGACCACCCAACAGGACAGGAACCCAGTGTTGCCTCAGGCGCTCCGGCCCCCGAATGCGGGATCGGGCCTGCGAGTGAATGGGTCTCGGGGGCCCACCCCCCATGGAGGCCACAGCGGAAAGCAGCAGGTGAGTGACCAGCCAAGCCGCCCAGTCAAACCATGTGATTTCACTCATACGTGGAATCTAATGACCAAACTGAAATAACAAGGAAAATGGGGACAGACTCATAGATGGAGAGCAGGGTGACAGATAGCAGTGGGGCGGGGGGGTGGTGAGGGAGTGGACGGACGGAGTAAAAAGGAAAAAGGACCCACGGACGTGGGCAACAGTGTGTTGACTGCTGGGAGGGATGAGGGGATAAGGGGCCCAAATGGTAATGGGGAAAATACAATAAAGATTACATTAAAAAATAAACAGAATCAGTGTTTACAGCCATTATGGTTTGGAGTCCTGTATAAGGCAGTAATATCTAACTGAAAATTATGCAGTTGGAAAGTCCACTTTGGAGAAGCCCTCAGAAATGCCGTCTAGTCCAGAGCCGGGGGTGACCTCGTCGTAGTTAGAGCGCCGTGTCAGCCTCCCGTTCTAAATGCTGTGTTCACGTGCAGGTCAAGGGCACACCAAACGCCTCCTGATCAGCCCGTGTCGAACGAGACCGAGAAGGAAAATAGCTTTTGCCCCACAGTTGCGTTTCATTTTTCTTTTCTTCGTCTCCGTCCGGCCCTATCTTCGTCGTCCTTCCCCAGGTCCCTGGCCGGGCCCTGCCCGCTGCTGGGGTCCCTCAGCTCCCAGCGGGCTCCGCCGCCGCCACTCTACCGAGTCACAGAGGAACTGGAGTCCTCGTCAGCCTGGGGCTGGCTTCCATCAGAGCCGCAGGGCGTTCGTCCCACCTGACTGCCAGGTGTCGCCCTTGAGTCTGTGTGTTGTCCAGGGGCACAGGGCCCGCCGGCCTCTCAGCCCTGATCCCAGGAGACCCTTCATGGGTCAGGCTGATGGGACGCTGACCTTGGGCCGTTCCTGTCCTGGCTACCCTCACACTTAGAACCTCTGTGAAATGTAAAATATGCTCTAAGACAGGGACCCTGCAGAGGACGGGATTTTGTCCTCACTTTTCAGGTGAGAAAAGGGAGCTGGAAGTTGCCACTGCCCCAGGTCGTTCAACTAGTCCATGCACCATCGTGGTTCAAACCCCTCCTCGCAGTCAAATTCACACACTTCGTTTCTGGCAGGAACTGGGATGGGTCGGGGACACAGCACGGGCAACAGCAGAGCGGAGGCCGCAGGCTTCCAGAATGGACGCGGGGCACAGGAGAGGGGTGACCACCGTCTCAGGTGCCCGATTTCTTCCCCAGAGAGAGGGAGAGCGTGGAAGAGGACAAACATCTTGGAAGTGTGGCCACCTGACTGCCATTTGACACTTAACTCTGCCAGAGCTGGGGGAGAAGCAGGTGGCGTCCGGCGTCTTTCTCCTTCTAGAACACAGGCTCCCGCGCACCGGATGCCGGCTGGCCATTGCTGTTGTCCCCTTGATGTCCTCTGAGTGACCGAAGGGCCCCGCTCCCCCTGCCACGCCTCGCAGCCTCCTCCAAGGAGCCGTGGAGCAGACCGGGGCGTGTTCACTCCCGGTGCGCGGGGATTCCTGAACGCGCGCGGCGCTGCTCACGGGCCGCTGCCGCCCACAGCGGGCGGCCTAACAGCCGCACCGATACAAACACACTTCCCGGAGGGCGGCTTTAGCCAGAACCCTTATCTCTACTTGATTTAATGTTTACACTATTCTTGGCCAGTGTCACAAGCACAGTTAAAGCCAAACAGATTCCCTGTAGTTCCATCTCTTCCTCTCCTCACTTTCTCTCCTCCATCCCTCAATTTGTCTCCTTCTCCCCAAGGTCTGGCTGAGCTACACGTTCTCGCGAGTTCACGAATGTAAGTCTCTCCACTAGACTATAATCTCAATGCGCACAGCTTACTGCTTGTGGAATGAGGTCTCTCGTTCCGACTCAAAACTCTATTTCACTGAAAACCTGCTGGGAGCCCGGGACCCCCACCCATACGCCAGGCTCCCCCAGTCTGAACATGGATTGTGTTTGGCAATCGCCCCCCAAGCTGAGAATGTGGCTTTTGACTCCCCTTCACAAGTGGGAAGTGCCACCACAACTGCCTACTTATTCGGTCCCCTGCACCAGGCTGAGCATGCCATTCTCTTTGACAACAGCTTCCTCTTACCCCCCCAACCCCGCCCCACGACCCCTCGCCTCTCGGTGCCGTTTCCACCTTCTCCCTCCCTGGCTTGACTTGAGCCAACACGCCCACAGCCAGCTTTATCGCCTAGGGCCAGGTCTCCTGGGACAGCGCTTCCTTCAGCCAGGGGTCCCTTGCAACAATGCACACACGTGGCCACACCAACAGCGGGTCTCCATTTCCAAAACTCACTCACACAGCTTCTGGCGGTGACTTGCCGAGTGTCTCTAGGTACCTCGCATTCTGCTGAGCCCCGACGCACAGCCACCAGGGCAGGGCCACCGCTGGCAGCAAGCGCCCCTCCGCCACCCTCCTGCTCACCTGTCTGCCCGACGATGGAGGCGCTCAGTCTGTGGGGGATCCTGGAGGACACCTTCAAGGTCACTCGGATCTGGTAATACCTAAGGAGAGAGCAGAGGACAGGCTGCTGAAGATCACACTTCGCGTTGTTGGCTTCTTCTGAAAATACCAAGCCTTAACCCTTAAGGCCATGGGAACCGTGGACGCTTCTAGGCAGCAGGCGTGAGCCCCTGCCATCGAGGAGGCTCGCTCTGCCCGCACGAACAGTGGGCCAACCCGGAGACGGGAAGCTGGGCGCACCTGGGATCGCAGGAGGCACACGCAGGCAGATGGTGATGGGAGCAGAAAAGGGGACAGAGCAGTCGCACGGCACAGGAACACAGAGGGGAGCAGTTTCTCTGCGGCCAGAGGAGCCCACCATGTTTGCATGGAGGACCACACATGGGAGTTGAGTTGCTTTCCCCTTGCAACACAGACAGGCGCTTGCTTTGGAAACCCAGCAGCCGAGCTGTGGATTCTGGGTTACGGCCAAACACTATCCCCCGTGCATTCCTCTGCCCTGTTTTCAGCCTCAGTCCCACTTCCAACTTCCCTCCTCTGGTGACATCGCGCAGGCTCCCGGGTTGTTGGGACACCTGCAGGGTAGCCCTCCGTGCACAGGTGCGGACGCATCTCCCTAAGTTCCGTGTCTCGTGGTTAACGACCCCCGTCCCCCGCACATACCCGGGAACATTTCTGCCATCGTAACTGCTCTCCCCTTTCACTGGCTGTGAAATAGCAGGGGAATAAACAGAGTGAAACAGGAGTAACATGAGCCATGGACATGCAGGTCGCCCACAGCTCACTGAGCCCAAGGCCGGGGGCCCTTCTCTTGATGTCCTTGCACTGGGGACACACGCGTGGGATGCTTCTGTTGACGTGCCTGCGGTGAGCTGAGGAGACGCAGGGCAAAGAGCCCTGGCACTGGATTCTTGTCTCCTGGGTCACATCATTGGAGAGCTGCGTGATTTTGAAAACATCACGCAACGGCTCTGAACTTGTTTTTGTATCTGTAAAATGGAAATGTTTGTAAAAGGTAGCTGTCCTAATGTCTGCTTCCAAGAAAGACTGTGTAGACATACGGTTTCCTTGTCTTCCCACTAAGTTCAACTAAAACCTCTGGGCAGTGTATCCACAGCAAACAAAGGAAGCTTCTTCAAGATGGAAAAGGAAGCAGACAGCCCAGGGACCTCCAGGTCCAAGGAAAGACAGAATGGTGTGTCGTTGCATATGCCTCTGCCTCATCTATTCCAAGAGAAGCCAACCACTCAAAAATGCTAACAGCTGCAGATAAAAAAAATATATATATACAGCCAAGAAAGCCCTGCTTTCTCTAGAGGAAGGACCTGAGGCGGGGCAGCCTAGCAAGACGGACAATTTTTAGACGGTAGTCGTTCCACAGTTCCGCTGGCACCATCAAAGACCAAGGAAAAGCCGAGAGGTCCGCTGTGGCCCGCTTCCCCCACCTGGTGGGAGAGGATCCGGGCAGGGAAGCAGATTCTGACTACTAACGGGTAGTGATGAAAACCCCACCTGCCCTGCTGTAAGTGGGGACCATGCGGCAGCCTGGATCTCTGCCCCACCCGGCGGGAACAAGGGCATTAGTGTGCCCATGTGATTTTGACAAGGGTTGAAAGCAATTCAATGAAGGAAAGTAGCCTTTTCAATAAATGGTCCTGAAGGAATTGGACATCCCTTGGCCAAGCCAAAACCCAAACGAAACACTCACCTGAAATCTCACACCTTGTACAAAAATTCAAAGAAGATCACAGACTTAAATGCAAAAGGTGAAACTATAAAACTTTTAGGGGAAAAAAATAAAAACAGAAGAAAGATTTGGAATCTAGAGCTAAGCCAAGAGTTCTTAAACTGGACACTAAAGCACCATGCATTAACTTAAAACTTGATGAATTCGACTTCATCAAAATTAAAAACTTTTCTTCTGCACAATGCTCTATTAAGAGGATGGAAAGACAAACCACAGAGTGAGAGAAACCATTTGGCAGTCCCAAGCAGTTGACCCTCCCTAAGGGTTCTGTTTGTGGATTTTCCTGCTGGCTTCGTTCAGGTATGAGTTATGCTGCAGCTGGGCATGATTCAATGTTAGGGAATCAGATATACTGTAGAAACCCACCTAAACAGAATCACACCTAAAACAAGGTCAGGTATCGATCCATTGACAAAAAGGTTGGGGCAGAGGCTCCCAGGGCCCTAACCCCGCATGTCCCCTGGGAGCGATGGCTCAGTATAGGGAGACAGTTAAAACCATCGTGGAATCCACAGAGAAGTGGCCACGAGCACCCTGACCCAGGTGAGGGAGACCGAGGCAGAGTGGGCTTCCAGCCCTGCCTGTCCGAGGCAGCCGCTCTGTAGCGGTAGCCGAGTCCCACTGTGCAGACACTTTGGCTGTGTCCTGCAGGATGTTTGGGCATTTCAGGGAAAGACAGAAATTACTATTTTAAGAAAACAACTTTGAAATTGTAAATGTTGGCTCCTAAATCAATGACAAGGACAACAGCAATAACAGGCATCGCAAACAGAATTGGTGGCTGCACCCGTGGCCTCTGTGTCAACAGAACAAAAGATGCGCGCAAGCTGCACACCTGTGGGCCGGCAGCTGCCCAACTCTGATTTCTGCAAATGCAAAATGGCCCGGGTAGTATTTCCTGCATAAAAGACCTACGCATTTCAAAAATCCCGTCATTATAGGAAGACACACAAGTCCCCCAGGGCCACCACCGCCAGCCGCAATATTCCCACGGATTCTTCTCTGCGCCTAAAATGGGTCAGTCGTGGCCGGAGGCTATGCGTCACTTTTCGATCAGACTGTGTGTGCTTGGGGCGGCTGCAGCGGTGCTCAGGATTTATGAAGCGTCCCCGTGCCAGCACCTGTGTGAGCGGGACCTCTGCGTATGCAGTCCTGTGGGGTCCTCCCTAAATTCTCTGTGAAAGAAAACACCCCTCCAGTGCCAGCCAAGGAAAACATCGGGTCCCTGCTCATACCGGACTCCTCCCCTGCAGTAGTGAGGCCAGCAAAGGGCAAACAGAACTCTACCTCTCGAGGTAGGTTTTTCCCACACCTTACGGGGCCACATTTGGTTGCATAAATCAAAACCCTCTTGTAAAGAGTTCTAAAGCACCGTCTGAATTTTTATTCCTTAAAAACACTGATGCCACCGAATGGTGCTTTAAGGACTTAGTGGTCATTTTGAACTTCAGGTGCTTTTGTAAGAAGGTGTTGAAAAGAAATGAGTTTCAATTAGGCGCATCCAGGTGGGCTCTGTCTTGGTTAAACAGAACGCTTTAGCCCCTTGGGTAACCCTCTCTTGTTCGACAGGCACTTTCTGCAGGGTCAGAAATCCACACGCCTGTTCACTCATGACACACACGATAGTGTTCAATTCTTTCAGGAAATCTTTCATGCATTTACTATAAATTTCTCCTTAAAGATGAGAAAACTAACCTCTAGAGACAGGGAAATTTGTAAATATCCAGTCATATTCATTAAGTAACATTTATAAGCAAATCTCCAAAATGACTTTTTGATTTCATTATGAACACTCTGTAACTACACGTAGAGCCACCTCCGTCCAGCCAGGGTCCCTCAGGAATACGCTGTGAAGAAAGGTGCCTTGAGCGCACATCCTTGGAGAGGGAGCCAGCGGGAGGAGAATGTGGGGGAGTGAATTCCGGTCAGAGAGAACAGAGAAGCTGATCCCAGTGGGTAGACAACTTCAGACAACATGTTGGAAAGGCTGAGTCACCCCCCCTGCACAGGACTCCTTTGGGGAAATAGTAATAAAAAGAGTCATCCTTTATTGACGTCTGGTGGTAAGAGCGACACTGAAGGATGCCCTTTCATGGTGTGGTCAGCAGAATGGTGCCTCTTCCAACGACATTTATGTCCCAGTCTTTGGCACCTGAGAGAAGTTTGCGTATTAAAAAAAAATCAGAAAAAAAGACCCAGGAAATGACCGATATATTTCCACTACACACTGATAGACTGATTCATCTGTTCTGAGAGTCTCCACCCACCATGACCAGAATGCAAAACATTCTGTTAAATTTTAGCGGCCTCCACAGAAAATCAGATCTTTTTTCAAGAGACGGCGGCTCAAATAGTTGGATAAACTTTGTTTGTATATTGCAATGCGGTCAAAACATAATGATTGTAGTGACGCATTTAGATCCTGCTGATATTCACAGCGACAGCCCTCCTCCTTCCTTTTTCCCATCTCCCTGCTGATCTGGAAGAGTCCGCGTGGCTCACGCCGTCAGCTGTTGGCTCAAAATCCATAATCCCCCCTTCCTTACAAAGAAAGAAGATCTTGTCAAGTAATGCGCCTACCTAAGCGTTCTCCTGACCCACGGGCAGAACTGCGGTGAGTGAATCAGAGCTGTGTGATAATGCATTTCCAGAGCGGCTGCATTACAGCTGCGCTTCCCCGCCACACAACGGTGCGTCCACAGTCCACTCGTTCTTTGCGATGCTTCATGTGCTTGGGCTTCAAGTTGCTAGCATGATGTTGGTCATGGTGGGAAAATTTACATCATGAAAATCAACAAGTGCGGCAACTCTCTCTCTTTTTCAAGCCAGTTTCACACAGTTACCAGCACACCGCGCTGCCTTCTCCCCTCATAACCAGCATCGCCCCGCTCTTTTAACCAAAAGAAACGTGAAACCTGAACAGGGTAAATAATTGGGCCATTTGGAATAATTCTAAGAAAGGCACTGCCGGGTGCGACTCAAACCATCGAGACTTCTGGAAATATCTATTTTATTTCTCAGAGACACCTCACTGAGTAAGACTACACTAATGAGGCTCCTGCGATCATTCTCCTCTGGCTTGATGGGAAGAAGAGCATGTGGCCTTTTCATGTAGCCTTGGGAGTCTGGACAAAATGTCCACAACTCTTCTCCCATTTTCCCCTCTTTCAAAAATCAAAACAAACTCCAGTGGCAGTAACACAACAGCAATGCTTAGCGTGGTGACTTGAGACTATTTCAACTTCTCTGGACTTCCATTTCCTCACTCGCCAGTCGGGATGCCAGTGGCTTTCT